TAAAATTTCAACTGATATTTCAAATATGCATATTTCACAATGATAAAACAATGGTACCCCAACTTATACACAAGCACACAAAAGTCCAACCGAAGATTCCTACCTTTGACCTAGACAATGTTCTTTGGTTTGGATTAATCTAAATTATGCATTATAAAAGTCTTAATTATGCTCTAATCCTTCATTAATTATAATTGGCTTTAAGCTTTCAAAACTCCAGCCAGAATTTGGTAAGTCTTTCTTTCTTAACTGTCCTTAAAATTTTTCTTTAATTTAGACCAAAAAGAATTACTTGTTTTAATTAGATGCTTCTTGTTGTTTTCCAGCAGAGGATTTACATTTGGAATTAATAATAAATAAGGATAAAACCAAAAATTGGAAACAAATTTGATTTTTTTTTCTTAATTTTTTTCCTGTTATTTTGGAGTTTGGTTATTTTGAAACAAATTAACACAAGAATAAAAAAAAGAAAAAGAAAGAAATACAGGAAGGACTTTTTCTCTCTCATCAAAGAGAGAGAAGAAAAAAATTTTGATTAGGAGAAAAAAAAAAGAAAAGAGATAAAATCTTTGAAAGATGAGAACTTTGACTGTGAATCTCTCTCTTTCATATTATCTTTTTTAGCAAACATTGAATCTCCTTCCTCACATTTCACCAAAAATATAGAAAACCCTTTTTATTTCCCTGAACACTTGGAGTTTAATTTTTCAAAACCCTTTTGGGTTTTCTTCAGATTTCTCAGTGCCCAAAATTGTCAGAGAAAGGTGGGTTTGTTTTTTCTTTTACCCTGAAACAAATTGATTGTCTTTGCTTAAGGTAGTCCACATTTTTTACAGATTTTCTGGGATTTTTTTTTCTTGTTGGAGATGTTTGCTAGTACTCAGAGAATATTGTTTTTCTGTATGTGAAATACGTTCCAAAACTCAAATCTTCAAACTTTTGAGTTTTTTTTTATTTAGATTTTATTTTTGGTTATAAAAAAACCCCTTTTTCTCCCTTCAGGATTACCTGATGTTGTGGATCTAAGAGATTTACTTTGGCTATGTTTATGGTTACCTCATAAATTTCTGATCTTGATTCCTCATTTCATCTGTTTGCCTTACTGGATTTTTCAGGAAATTTGTAAAAAGCTGATAGCTGCTGCTTGTTTTGGATATTTTTTCCCTTTCTGATCCATGGGAAATTGCTGTGCTACCCCCGGTTCTAATGTTGAGAATAAGAAGGGGCAAAAAAAGAACAAAGCTAACCCATTTTTTGGAGATGAATATGCTGTCAACAATGGATCTGCTTCTAACTTCAAGCTGAGGGTTTTAAAGGAACCAACTGGTCAAGATATTTCGGCTCAATATGATCTGGGGCGCGAGCTGGGGCGCGGGGAATTCGGGGTAACATATCTGTGTACCGATGTGAACTCTGGTGAGAAATATGCTTGTAAATCGATATCGAAGAAGAAACTGAGGACTGCAGTGGATATTGAGGATGTGAGGAGGGAGGTAGAGATAATGAAGCATCTGCCTAAGCATCCTAATATCGTGACATTGAAGGATACTTATGAGGATGATGATGCTGTTCACATTGTTATGGAACTGTGTGAGGGAGGAGAGTTGTTTGATAGGATTGTCGCAAAGGGCCACTACACGGAACGAGCGGCATCCGGGGTTATGAGGACGATTGTCGAAGTTGTTCAGGTTGAATTCTGAATGATCTTTGTGTTGTTGTATTGGCATAGTTTTGCATTTCGTGTTTATGGTCTTACATGAGGTCCATATTCCTATATAGTTTATTTGCCATATGTTTGCTAGAAACTAGTTTAAGCCTTTTAGTATTACAGGAGCACGAGATCTAGTTTTTCGGTTAGTTTCTAATTATAATTGCAGAGATAAATGAGCTTTTCTTATTGATTTGAACCTCTTTGAAACGAATCAATGAATTCAATCCACCTTTTTGATGATATCTTCTGCACTGAATAACCGGCTGTATTCAATTTATGTTGCAGATGTGCCATAAACATGGAGTCATGCATCGCGATCTCAAACCTGAGAATTTTCTCTTCGGTAATAAGAAGGAAACTGCCCCATTGAAGGCAATTGATTTTGGGTTGTCGGTCTTCTTTAAACCTGGTATTGCATATCAACTATTACTTATCGACTAGATGAACTTTATAAGTCTTTTCTCCTTACATCAATCCATCTTTGATGAGAACTGATTTTAAGTGTTTTAGTTATCTCCTTATATATATATATATTATGCTCAAGTAGCTCGAGTTTGCCTCAAGAATGCTCTTTCTTAACAGGTGAGCGATTCAATGAGATCGTGGGAAGTCCATATTACATGGCTCCAGAGGTTCTTAAACGAAATTATGGCCCAGAGATCGATGTCTGGAGTGCTGGAGTTATCCTCTATATTTTACTTTGTGGTGTGCCACCGTTCTGGGCAGGTTGGTCTTTCAATTTTCGATGAGTTCTTTTTTTTCATTTGACTTCATGAAGGTTACAGCTCAAGATAATTTTACCGGCAGTGTGTACTTCGATAGTTTGGGCAAAGATAAGAGAGATATCAAGAAAAAAGTTATTTAATATTATGTATCAAGAGTTTGGTGCATCTTTTAACTTTTTGCATAAATTTTCTCTATCTACTCCCATGCTTTCAGAAAAATAAATATAAAAACATTTCTGGTGTCTGCATGCAGAGACCGAGCAGGGGGTAGCACAGGCAATTATCCGCTCTGTTATTGACTTTAAGAGGGACCCTTGGCCTAAAGTTTCAGATAATGCAAAGGACCTTGTAAAGAAAATGCTTAATCCCGATCCAAAGCTACGACTTACAGCACAGGAAGTGCTTGGTAACCTTCTGTACATCTTACACTCCTTATGTATGTTGATATATATTTGTATGTATGAAAATTCATTCAAAGTACCGTATGCAGAACATCCGTGGATACTAAATGCCAAGAAAGCACCCAATGTTTCATTGGGTGAGACTGTGAAAGCTCGGCTCAAACAATTTTCTGTAATGAACAAGCTGAAGAAGAGAGCTCTAAGGGTAAGAATTCGAAGAACTCTTGTAGTTCAGTACTTTTAAGTTACAGGATGCAAATTTTGGGGGCAACCTTTTAACCTACTCGATATTGGCTGCATACACCCACGGTTTTTACTTTTAATGACTGTAATTTAAATATTTCAATTTGCCAGGTGATTGCTGAGCATTTGTCGGTGGAGGAAGTAGCCGACATAAAAGAGGCTTTTGATGTTATGGACACCGGAAAACGAGGTAAAATAAACCTTGAGGAACTTCGTGCAGGGTTGCAAAAGCTCGGCCAACAGATTCCTGATGCAGATTTGCAGATCCTAGTGGAAGCTGTAAGATTATCTGCCCCCAGAATTTCTTTTTTCCAATTCCTCCTAATCTAAGAACTAAAAAATATGACTAATGCTACTGATATATGTGTGGTTGGGGTGCTATACTGTTCTTCTCGATACTTCTCCTTTTTGGAGACGCATCTCTCCTCCGTTTTCTTGCGTAAACTCAATTTACAGTGTTTGACCATGTTATGTCCTGTAACTAACATTTCATATTTAGAACTAACTTCATCGACGGAATAACTGCAACTTGCTTTTGACAGGCTGATGTTGATGGTGATGGAACTCTGAATTACGGAGAATTTGTGGCAGTTTCAGTTCACCTCAGGAAAATGGCCAATGACGAGCACTTGCATAAAGCTTTTGCCTTCTTTGATCTAAATAAAAGTGGTTTCTTAGAGAGAGAAGATCTGCGAGATTCCTTAAATGATGAAGTTGATACCAGTGAGGAAGTTATTGATGCCATAATGCACGATGTTGACACCGACAAGGTGACATTTTCTTGCTTGTTTATAGTGGATTCAATTTGAACTTGTCAAAGCTTTATCTTGACATTTTTGCCACCGAGGGCTGATGCATCATCCTATCGATGCTTATCATGTTCATTTCTGTATTGCACTTTATCCATTGCTTCATACCACTAATGTTGACACACACACAAATACCGTGTCTTCTGTTCCGTGCTTGGTTTCAAGTGTATATGTGGTTCATCTCAAAGAAACTGAGCCCGAAACATCTCCGGATTGTATGATCTGAAGTTAAAGCTTTTTCTTTTATGTTGCAGGATGGGCGCATAAGCTACGAGGAGTTCGTTGTAATGATGAAAACCGGTACTGATTGGAGGAAAGCATCCAGGCAATATTCACGTGAAAGATTCAACAGTCTAAGCTTGAAGTTGATGAGAGATGGTTCATTGCAATCAGATAATTGAGTACAAGTCTAATAGATACAAATCAGAAAAACAAAACAAATCAAAAAAGCTTACCATTGCTTTGAAGGGAAGAAAAAGAAAAGAGAAAAATTCCTTGATTATTGTTCGGATGATACTGTAAATTTCGTTTATTTTTCCAATTTGTTTTCGAGTGGAACCTTGGAGGTAGATAATTATTATTAGTACGTCTAAATAGTTAGCTGCCGAGTTTGAAATCTTTGTGATGAATTAGTTCGAAATATTATCCACATTTTTGTTTGTGGTTGTAAATATCTGTGACTTTGGCCTCAAGTCTTTTCCTTTAGGAAAAGCACAGGTTGTGGATGTGTAGCATTCAATTGCTTTCATTGTGTGTTGTCTGCTGAAAGATGAGTTTTTTAGGTGATTCCCAGTTTTACTTTTATTAGTCATTATTGATTGCCCAATGTTCCTTGTATCTAAAGAAACATGCCACTTCCTCCTAACTCATTGCAATACTGATGTAAATGAGACTGGTATTTACAGATTTTACGAGTCTGACTCAAAAAATGGCAGATTGTTGAGGGTGTCTGGTCATACTCTCAACATTCATATAGCTGGATTCGATATTCTCTTCTAGGAATGAAGCAATCTATTCTTTTGAAGTTATAATACGTGAATGATTAGTCATTAAATTTGGAGTAGCACTGGTTCATATGAAATGCAAGTTGAAAAAAGAAAACAGAGGAATATATATAGAACGAGGGTTGTCCAATAAAAAGATGCAAGTTTCCAAACAACAAAGTAGATGATTCTGGCATACAAATCGACACTAAATATAGATGAACAAAAGGTTTCTCACTTGCGACAGATGCTAGCAGTAGGCATTGTTACACAAACAGGAGAATACTTTTTCTTAGCTTCTGGAGTCCCACGTTTAGGCTCTTCACCCATTGCAACATTTGCAAAAGAGCAGACAGCAGCTGCTACTGCTGCAAAAACCAAGTCCCGCCTCCCATTGCTGCTCTCTTGCTTCATTTCCAAGCTTCCCTTCTCTCCTTGATCGCTGCCGGTCGCCTTGGCCACAATTGCACCTCTACGAGCCGATCCCGAAGGAAGTCTAGTCAAAACGGAGCTCGAGCTCGGAAGAAGAGAGGCTGTCATGCTCATTGAAGCCATGTCTGTGCAAGTATAGGAGAGCTCTTTCTAGTTTCTTCCTCAAGTCTTGTTTGTGATTGAGATGCTTGAGATTAATGTTATTAGTTATTTGAGGAAAATAGCATGAGAAAAAGGGATTGTTGGTAACCCGTCATCCATTTCCTTATCCAAAGATATGATGGGGCTAATGGATAATTGACACGTGTTATATTATCTGCAAACTCTTTCTGTTTATTGCGCTTGTGGTTGTCAAGGATGCATTTATCAAGTGCCAAATTTTCTCTAGAAATTTCATAGCAATGTTTGAGAAGACAACTTAGACTGTAACTTGGAAAAATCACAACACTGCAGAACTTGGAGCATATAGGAAGCTGCTGCACGTCTCAAGACCTCACAGGAATGTGCTTATTTTCTTTTCTTTTTGATTCTGTCTCTAAAATTAGCAATGCTATTTGTATTACTACCCTAGCACGAACACGGAAGCCATCTTAATGTTAGAACTCAACATCATCATGCATCCAACCTCTCTGCTTCTTCAACTACAAGAGTCTTCATCAACCCTCTCTGCTTCTTCAAGACCAAGAGTCTTCACTGGCTTTCCCGATAGATCAGAATACTCCTGGAAAGGAGACCTTGTGAAACGAGTCTCTTCCCATAAATCAGGGGTCAAGAAACCATATGTTTTCAAAAGACACTCAAAGGTGGCCTGCAATTTTAGATTTCCAAAATAAAAAAGCAATCAGATATAAAAAAATAACTCAACAAATCTTATTTGAATCAGATCATACCACGAATAAACAGCCACCTAGAACAAAGCATACTGATTTCCTGATAACCAAATACAAATACCTTGAAGTATAGGGTAGGTTGCAATCTACAATGTCTATAAACATATTCGCATACTTCCACCAACAAATATTTGTTTCCAAATTACGAAAGAAACCAGCATCAAATATAAAGGTGCAGCATCAACAACCAAGTATAACAACCTCAAAAACATGTAGGATCTGTAAATCAATGAATAGGAATACTCAATGAGATCTGTAAATCTTGCAAATAGAGATGTATAAATATATCAATTACCGATTTATTACCATATATCAATAACCGGTTTATTATGTCACACTGTAACACCATCAACAAATCCAGATAACAATACTTCCTTTCAAAGCATGAAATGACGGATGGCCTATGCTTCCATTAAATCGGTATTAAAGACATTTGAAAGAAATATAAACCAATAAAAAATCTAACCACTAACAAATAAATCATATCCCAAATTAATAGAAAGATAATGGAAGAGTAACCAATATCTGGTGACAAGTAACAATTTCAATAGAATTAATCCAGCATCATATATGCTCAACCCGACGTGTCCATTTCCGTCGCCGACGACGACGAAGGCCTTGAAACGGGTACGCTGCCCGGAACGGGTTTGTTCTGGACCGGAGTGATCTTCATGACCTCGTCTTTCATTGAAGGGCCGACGAGCTGGTCGATAATTTGGTACTCTTTGATGGGGAGAGAATGGAGGTAGATTTGCTCAAGGGACGTTATTTTCCCGGTTTTAACCAAACGCCCGAGCTTTGTAACGGGCACCCATTTCTCTTCCTCATCTCTGCGGCCGCGGCGCCTTCCTCTTGGACCCCGGTCGGATCTGCCTCCGAAGCAACGCACCGCGCTCTCCCCCGCCTCTTTCTGCCATCTTGTCCTTTTGGATTGGATGTGTTTACAAGAGCGAGGATTTTGTTATAGAGAACACATACCTCTACAATAAGTACCGAACATCTCATATATAAATTCATAAATGTATTGTCCATGCTTGTTTCTAATTATATTATCGCATATCTATGTCTCATCCTCAACTTGAACGACGCCATTAGTTTAACTAAAGATTTCAAGTTCTAATTCTTAAACATGTAACAACATTAAATATTACTCTTACCCAAAATTCTCGGGACCAAACTTCTCAAAGAAAAATAACATTCTCAAATGGTTTCTTTAGTGGGAAACTTAACGAAAGGGGTTTTTCATTGTTAGTTTGTTACATTTCCATGACATGTTCGGCCATCTTCGATGTTTCAAACTTTTGGGCCGCTCGTCATCCTTCCAAGTTCGGTGAAATGGGATGATCGTTTTATTGACCACTTATACGTATCATAGCGCAGCGAATTTTTTTTTGATGATTATAATTTATAAATTTTTAAATAAAAATAAGATTTGAATAACATGATAAAATATTTTTCACTTGAAATCGTTCATTAAATTGAAAATCAACAATTTGGATTTAAATCGTTACGTTATAAATGAAACAAAATGAGTTGAGAATATTATTTTCATAATAAGTTTTTTTTTAGATCTTAGTTTGAACTAATTGATTAATGAGTTGGATGTTGAATGGTCGTACATAAAGCATAAACATTGTATCGGAGGATTTGTTATAGTTCAAGGGCCATTCATGCTATTATCCCTATATTGGTACATATATGAAATCGTTAAAATAATATAGAAAAAATAGTATTTATGAACACATTTATTGATTTGAGTTTAATGAGTAACATTTTAAAAATGATAGAATAAAAAAATATAGCTTTAACGACACGGACATTGTTTAATTGTTAAATCATATATACATACGGGTAGTTATGTAATATGTCAATATAATATACGGCTAAGAAAATTCGTTATTAAAAATGTTAATTTTATTACCTAATTTTTGATAGAAAATTAATAAAAAATAACATTTTAAGTAACGTCTAATATTAATATTTTTAATAAACAAATATTTTAAATAATAATATTTTAAAAATAATAAAAATAATATTAATATTTTCGATAACATATTTATTTAACCATATATATTAATTATAACGTACCTTAAACATCCTCATATACATACTATTTCTGTGGGGGTGACTGCAGTAAAGGACTATGTCACTGTCAAAAGTGAAAATGGACGGACAGTGAGTCGGTTCACATACAGAATAAATTCACAAATTGCCTTGTTTTGTGTGATCTGAACGCATTATTGTACTACCCAACCGCGATTTTCCAAGTTTTTCAAATTATCCCACAAACGAAAATGCATTTTTAGAAACAATATATTAGTTTATGTTCTCTTAATTAATATTAAAAAATCTCCCTTTTGGCTTAAATGTCAAATTGGTCTCGGTCATACCAAAAAATTAAGTGAATCCTCACTTTCAAGCATGGGACAAATAAATTATAATTTGAATAATCACAATTAAATGACTTATTATTCTCGAAAATCCTAGTAAATGAAGTAAATTGGGTTAGAAGAATCGTCATCGGATATTAGTGATTAATTCAAAAAAAATGTGAAAATAAATTTTATTAATATTTTCAAAAAAATCATTTGATCCGTTATAATATTATATATAAAAATATTTAATTCGTGATTTAAACTAAAGATTCATTTGATTCTTAGTTACTATAAATATGTTAATATGATATAGGAGCCAAAAAAAATTGATATTGAAATGGATGAAAGGTGGTCAAAGTCAATCTAGTAATTTATAAGTATGTTTAATTTATTTGGAGTAGAATTTGGACAAGGGGGAGAAGACAAACACACTTGCTTCTACATTAAACGACAAATTTGTCCTTTATTTCTAAACATTATTTTAAATACTCATTGTCGTTTTACTGTTGAAGTTTCATTTTGATTTTTAGTGGATGTTGTACAACATAAAAAGAAAAACTTTTAATTTTTCCCCACATCTTTCCTCATTGTTGAAGAAGGGTAAGCATTAGCTTTAATTTATATTAAATCAAAAGATTAAAGTAATAAGTAAGTAGTAAAAAATTAAATTAAGGGGAGTTTAAATATTACATTGAAAAAAGCAAGGCAATTAAAAGTAAGCACTTGAAATTCCAAATGAAGTGGCAGTGGTCCCATTTGTTTTGATTCAGACATGGTGCATGTCTTACTCCGTGTCTCTCATCTCTGTTTACTCCAGTGATTTTACTATGAAGTTTTAATCTTATTATTTATTTAAAATTATTTTTATTGAAACTAAAAAAAAGATTGTAAGGGCAGTCTAAGAGATTAAGGGGTTGCTTGTTTATTTCAGAATAATTAAACACTGAATGATTTAGAGGTTCTGTATGAATTAGTTCTGAATATGATATTCTGTTTAATAATGACATTGAATCATTCAGAATGTACTTTTATGCTGAATAATTCAGTACTATTTTGCTGAATCTGTCAGTGCCGAATCATTCAGAGGTACGAAACAAACGCACTGAATGTTAAACGGTTTAATATAACACTGAATGATTTCATTAAGAGACAAACAAACAACCCTTAAGATTAACTCAGCAACGCATAAACTCGACGTGAAGATCGAGAAGAGAATCACCGGCCTAGGGAACTGTAGAAACAACACCTAGGATTATGTTTTATTTAATTAACTTTAATTTGAAAGTTTAATATCTTAAAACAGGTTATAATTATGAAAACAGCTTTAACGGCACGGACCTTGTTGACGCGTTAATCATGTGTACATAATGTTTGAGCGAGTGAAGAGACAACGTGAGTCAGCTGAGTTCAGTTGACAGAAAAAAATATGAAAATCAACTCACCGCCTTCCTTGTTTTGTGTGAGCTGACTTAACATTATTGTACCGAGTTGTATGTACAATTTCAAAACATTATGAAACTATTTAAATTACTATCGTCTTTTGCATTTCTTTTGACATTATTGGAGCGGTTGGTTCCTAGGATTTTTATATTTTAAATAATGAATAAATAGGTATTTGGGTGTAGTCTGCATTTGCCCAAGGCAGTAAAAAACGAAGAAAATAAATACAAGGCAGAAGCAATGGTTGCGGGAGAGAGACTCGGATTCCCATAGAAGAAGAAGGTGGAGGGAAATAAATAGACAGAACACCGACACAAGAACAAAAGAGGAAGCAAACAACATGCAGCTTTCATTTGAATCATTCTTCTTCTTCTTTCCTCTTCACGAGGTCGCACGCCTGCCCTCTCTTTATTTCATTTAATATCATATCTGTATTTTTCGGCAAAACTCAAGATATAATGTTTTCAAAATAAATAATTCACGAGATAATGCACTCTTC